AAGCCACAAGCGCCTCGATCTCCAACACCCACCCAATTACCCAGTACTTTACACCATTGCCACATAGTAACAAGCAACCACCGGAGAGTGTCACACAAGATTCACTGGTCTTTGACGCATACTCCAAAAAGAAACGACACAAGCAGCCAGTCGTGCCAGATACTTCTCTTGCTCCTCCTGTCAATTCTTCCAGTTTACTCCAAACCAAGCTACAACAATTCTTTTAAATCCAGCAGAAAAACCCCTGGTTGCACTTCCATCAACACTCCTTGGAGGGACGTGCCACCCCTTGGAGCAGCTAGGAGCATTCTTTCTACCAAAAGCTATGGTTCTGGCCATAAAGTGCCTCTTCTAGTTCACGAGGTAAAATATAATATTAAGATTTTTTTGGTTGAATACTGGGGCTGGGGTTGGTGTTGGTGCTTTCCGACACAAATTCCGGAAACAACAACAACAACAACAACAACAACAACAACGTTTGGACCGGAGGAGAACTCTTCTGGTCTGTAAAATACTGGAACTGCATGGAGATGCTGGGGAATCTTTGTTAAATTGAGTATTATGTAGCATATACTCCAGACATTGTTCTTCAATAGGTCTTGGTTGAATACTGGGCCTGGGGTCGTTGGTGTTGCTTTCCGACACAAATACCGGAAACAACAACAATCAGGACTGGAGAACTTGTCCAGCCCGTAAAATACCGGAACTGCATGGAGATGCTGAGGAAGCTTTGTTATAATTGAGTATGATGTGGCATATAGTACTCCAGGCTTTGTTCTTCAACAGGTCTTGGTTGAATACTGGGGCTGGGGTTGTTGGTGTTGCTTTCCAACACATGTGTCAGAAACAACTTCAACACTGGAAGATATGATGCTTTCTGAGGAACTGGATAGATCCACCGGCTGAGGCTGGGGACACCAGGAGAGATATTGAAACACTTAGAATAGTCTTGCTTAGATTGCTTGCTTGTTATTAGAAGTGCTTGAAGCAATGAAGCCAGGGAGGTGGATTTTCCCCTTTGGAAGGGGATGTCACCATGGTGTTTGGATGCCAGAAGATACTGGTCAGGTAGGAACTACGTAGGAATCAGTAGGAAATCTAGGTGATAATTTTCAGAACTGAAGTGTAATTTCATGCGTTTGAAAAATTTGATTTGAAAATTATGGATTGTATGATACATAGATAGGAATGGTACCCTATGATACTTAGATACAAATGGCACCTTTCCTCATATCAGTATGGTACTTCTGTATCGTATGTTCCTGTATGTATGTACGTATATACATATCCGTTGCAGATGGAGCAGCATTTGCAAAAAAAAAAAAATTATGGTCACGATGTTATTGTTTCTGACATTTGTGTTGGACAGCAACACCAACAACCCCAGCCCCCTGTATTCAACCAAGACCTTTCCTTCAAAGACCAAGGCCTGGAGTACATGCTACATC